TATATATATATATATATATATATATATATATATATATGTCTATACATTATATAAGCACATGCGTTTTATGTGTCAGCTTTATTCATAATAAATTGGGTTTTGTGAAAGTCAACATTTCTCTGTAAGTTTTTGGAGGCGGATAGGGGTTTCCAAAAAGAGAGAACATTTTTTACGTTTGTGAAACTGATCAAAATTGTCAGCCACCCCTTAGCAGCGGGTACTTTGAACTGCGTCTGCGCCGCTCCACTTCCGCGCATGCGCACCTCACACCAGGAAATGACTTTTGGTGACAGAACAGCTGAAGCATTACAAGCACACCAAAGCCCGAAACATGGCGGGTTTGAGTAAATATGTGACGGCCAAAAACTCGTGCCTGGCCGGCGGAGTTTTGTTGGTCGTTTACCTGCTGAAGCACAGAAACCGAAGGTCCAAACAGAACAGGTTAGTGAGCGGAACCCGGTTCTTCAGTGGAGACTGTCTCTGCAGGCGTGTTAGCCCCACCAGGCTCTGTGTCAGTAAAATATCCTGACTCCTCTCTGCATCATCTCGGTTAGTCTACTCGATTAAAACTTCATGTTTTCATCAAACCAGTCACTCTCAGGGATTTAAACTTCACTTTTCAATGTTTTGCTGTTTGTTCTTCGTTTAAAGCATTAAAACAACCTGGACTCTCGACTGCAGTCACTTTATGTAAAATCACCTGCGGTGGAGTCTGCTGCGGTCAGTTTAGGTGGCTGTGGTGATCCCTGATCAAAACACCTGCTCAGCAGTACCTGTGCAGGTGAAGGTTAAATATCTGACAAGCTCCAGTTTATAAAGTTCATTCATTCATTTAATTATTATTTTTTTAAATGCAGAGGCAATAGTTTTATTATAAACTCATTATTTCTTTCATGAGGCATATGGTTCTACACAGGTGCTGCTTTGGTTTTTATTCCCCATTAAATCTCAAATTAACAACTTTATTCTCATGATTTTGGCTTTTTATTCTTTAAATACTATTCTGCCCTCTGTACTCTACTTTTAAAATGTCCTCAACATTATTACTTCAATCTCAACATCAGTAAAGTTATATATATATATATATATATAAATATATGATTTTCTCAGAGTGACCATAAAACTGTATTTTAAACATTTGAGGGTATAAAAAACTGCAGATCTGTAAACCTGTTCTTACACTGGCATAGTACCTTTTTAACTTACCCTGTTGTACAAAGTACTTTTACACATCTCTTCATTTACGCAGACGACACTTTCTATCACGTTTTTCATTTTGTAAATGCAGTCTTCATCTCCTGCCTAAATTCTGGCCCACGATCATTTTTAATGATCAGCCACTGCATGAAAAAAGACGAGACAAGTAAAATAAATACTGGACGACAGGAGAACTTTCAAACAACTCTTGGCTTAAAGGGAGCAGAAGAACGGAACAAGAAAAGAGACAACCCGTGCTTTTTGACAGAAATATAGTTTAATAACTCACAAGGTTTGAGAGAAAACAGGTATTCTATAGAGTATGTCAGTAAAAGTACTTTCAGAAACAAAGTTTTTATTTGTGTTTCTATAATATCCAGAACCATGCTCCAAACAGAGATATCTTGAAATTAATTCACTTTTCAGGAACCGATTGGTAGAATACCAAGAGGTAAAAGGCCAAGAGGTCAAAGGTCACGGCATATTGAAAAACATTAACTAGGAAAGAGCACGCTCATCTGTAAAGACAAAAACTCACAACCCCAGTGAGTGAAGTGTGAAAGCCTACAGTTAAAACATTAAATATCCACCGGCGACAAGAAGCTGCTGATAATGAGACGACGTTTTCGTCTTTGTTTTTAGTAAAAACTCTTTAATGAAAGCAATGGTGATATGAAAGCTACATGGCGAGTAATAAATAATGTTCTGAAAAGTCATAAAGCAAAAACAGGTATTTCACAATATTTTTTGAAGGATGACGATGAAATCCATGATGAAAATGAAATTGTAAATGGATTCAATCATCATTTTGTGAACGTTGGATCAAGCCTTGCAGCTAAAATACCAAAAGTAGACAATAATGTGAACCATTCAGTTATAAGTTGTGACAACAGTATTTTTCTTAATGGAACTGACAAAGAAGAAATAATGAATGTTGTAAAAAATCTTACAGATAAGAGATCAAAAGACTGGGTGGACATGGATATGATGTTTGTAAAGGACATAATGAGTTATGTTATCGAGCCGTTTACATATATTTGTAATTTATCATTTTCAAAAGGAATATTTCCAGACAATATGAAAGTAGCTAAGGTAGTTCCTCTCTTTAAAAATGGTGATAAATGTGTGTTCAATAATTATAGACCAATATCCTTATTACCACAATTCTCAAAAATTCTAGAAAAACTATTTGTGACCAGACTAGATAAATTTATTACTAAACAAAACATTCTAAGTAGCAGTCAGTATGGGTTTAAAGCAAAAAACTCTACATCGATGGCTCTCATGGAAATAATGGAACAAATAACTACTGCTGTCGATCAAAAACAGTATTGTGTTAGTTTTTTTGTTGATTTAAAAAAAGTATTCAATACTATTGACCACACTATTCTCCTTGAAAAATTAAATAAATATGGTATAAGAGGACCAGCATTACACTGGGTATCTAGCTATCTAAAAGATAGGAAACAGTTTGTACAAATAAATGGTGTAAGATCTGACCTGTGCAATATCACTTGTGGAGTTCCTCAAGGCTCTGTACTTGGACAAAAGTTATTTATTTTATATGTGAATGACTTAGTGAATGTATCAGGACTCCTCAAATGTGTCCTTTTTGCAGATGACACCACATTTTTTTGTTTGGGTAAAGATGTAAAACGGATGTTGAAATTGATGAAGACAGAATTTGATAAAATACAAACTTGGTTTAAACTTAATTATCATTAAATTTAGATAAAACTAAATACATGATATTTAGTAACAAAAAGAGAACTGTTGATGATCCATTTAAAATTGAGGGTGTTGAGATTTGTAGAGTTAATGAGATGAAATTTTTGGGTGTAATCATTGATGAACAGCTAACATGGAAAAATCACATAAATTCTGTAAGAACAAAAATATCTAAATCTATTGCAGTACTATACAAAGTCAGGGAATTATTAAATGATAAAGCTCTGTACATGTTGTATAACACAATCATTGTTCCACATTTAATTTATTGCATTGATGTTTGGGGGAAAGCATGTAAAACATTTACAAAACCTATTTTTATTTTACAGAAAAGAGCTGTAAGAATTATCACCAGAAAGCATTACAGTCACCCATCAAGCACATTATTTTATCAACTGAAGTTATTGAAGTTCCATGATTTGGTAGATTACAGTATTTTATTAGTTATGTATAGGGCTCAAAATAACACATTACCATTAAATATCCAAAGAAATTTTATTAAAAGACAAAGTTGTTACAATCTTAAGGGGATAGAAATATTTGTCAAACCAAAGTTCAGAACTAGTCTGAAGGGAAGGTCTACCTCAATCCAAGGAGTTGGATTGTGGAACGGTCTAGAGAGTGATGTAAAAAATGCCAAGTCAATGTGTACATTTAAGAAAAAGATCAAAACTGAATTGTTAAAAAAATATATATGAAGTAGCTTAGTGTGTGTTTTGTATTAGAATTAGAAAAATTAGAAAGAGTTATTCATTTTGTACTGTTACTTGAAAATTATTATGTCTGAAATAATTGTTTGAAAAAAGGGGCAGATAAAATAAGATTTTTTCTTCTTTCTGCTGCCTTTCATTTTAAATCTTTTGTATCCTTTTTTATCTTGTTATGGAATTGTTTTGTACTTTTTTTAAATGAATAAACTATATACCATACCATAATGAAACAGGAAGTTCTTAGTGAGCTCGCACTGAAGCAGACGCCTGAAACCGATGGCGAACACTCCGACATTAGGACGTCATACCAAGTTAGAAATGTGCTTTTAAAGGTCCACCATGTCTGAGAAACTGTTCAGGGGAGTTCTGAAGTCCAAGTCCTCTAAGATCTGTTGATTCAAGCAGAAGTTCTCTGGTCCTTCTGAGCTCCCTGTTGAACCAAGGCGTCCTCTGTCCTGCCTGAAAGAAAGTCACTGCAGCTTTAAAACCAGCCTGGGCAAACATCAAATCAAAAATTATTATGTAAATGTTCAATAGCAAGTAGATTTGGTTTGTGAGCCTTGAAGTGCAGCAAGAAAACCACTCTCAGACGAGCCCTGAAGACCCCGCCAGGGCTCGACACCTCAGACAACACAGGAAAAAAGTGAACTGGGAATAATTCAGCTTCTGTGGAGTAAAATATACCAGACTTGATCTCAGATTGTACATTGATGCTGTAATTTAACACTGATAGTTGCATACTTTAACATAAAAATAAGACTATGAAATGTAGACTTCCTGTGAACGGTAGATTAGAAAGTGTTGCCTCCAAGTACTGTCCAGAATAAAGAGTCATTTTGTTCCATGTCAACTTAACGTTTGAACTCCCTGGTTCTCGTTGCAGCACTAAAGGAGCGTCTCAGCTCGTGCTCAACACAGACGTAAGTTCAACGTGTTCGTTTCAAATTTGTCATTAAACAGCGACAACAATAATTAGCTGTTGTTGAGTGTTTTCATGTTTCTCTGTACAGAAAGATGGAAGAAAAGACAAGGCGGCCGTGGATAAGGTTTTCTTCCTCCGGATCCTCCGGATTCTGAGGATCATGGTGCCACGGGTTTTTTGTATGGAGGTGAGTCTAGCTGTCATTGTGTGTTCTCGTTAGTGTTAAGCATGTTATGGTTGGTTCCCAACACTGGTCCCTGAGGAACACCACCCTGCATGTTTTAGTTGTTTCCCTGTATCAACACACCTGATTCAGTGGTTTAATTACCTCATTAAGTTCTGCTGAAGCCTCGTAATCACCAATTCTTTCAAATCAGGTGTGTCAAAGCAGGTAAGCAGCTAAAACATGGTGTTCCTCAAGGACCAGTGTTGGGAACCATTGCAATAAGATTTATATTTAAGAAACATTTGTCTTATTTGTAATGGTAAACTCTGTTATTCCTAAATAAATGTTGATAAAATAGTTTAAATGATGAATGAGAAGCAGCAGCTTTGACTGGCTGAACAACAAAGTCCAGTTCCTTCCCCCCAAATCACTTTGAGTTCGGAGCCGTTCAGAACTGGTTCTGTAAAAAACAAGTGTTTTAAACCACAGAGCCACATACCTGCACATTCCTTCTAGTGATGTTTAGGTGTGGAGCGAAGATCTCCTGAGACCAGTATGTCAGCAGGTTTCCTGTCAAGTTACAAAACAAACGACTTTCTACCCCTAAAAATCTGCTTCATGACTTTGTCGGGCGAGATTATCTCTGAAAATGTTCCTGACCCTTCAAATGTTTTGAGCGGCAGCAGTTTGAATAAACAAGGAGCAAGGACCTGGCTCTGTGAAGGCAGGTCTGCAGCTACGTTCTGAGAGGAAGAGCTATTTTTAACCGGACAGACTTAGTACTGAGTTATAAGGTGAGAAAATAAACGTTATTTACGCACAGTAAAGGGTTCAATCGTGTCATCTTGACAGTTTCTTTAACCTTTTTTTTAGAGGTGCACCAATTAATCAGCCGGTCGATTTATCGGCCACGATTTCCTTAATTTTGGGAAATGGGAAATCGGCCGATACTTGCATGAGAAACCGATTTTACAGATTTTTTTAGTTTTATCAACAATTGTCTGAACTTCATTTATATTTCAGAGCACCACCTCATGGCCAGTTAAAACAAGTTTGTACTGTTTCTAGGATATTGTTCAAGGGTCTGTTTTACAACAAAACAATATTGTAAAATTGAAGGTGCGTTGTGACCTTATAGCACCTGACAGTGTCGCTTATAAAACAAAATCAGTACCGGCCAATATCGGAATCGGCAGGTCAGACTTTTTAGAATTGGTGATCGGCCAGAAAACCAATCGGCGCACCCCTAATTTTTTATAATAATCAATCTTAACTGGGAGGAAAAGAGTCGAGCTTTGAGGTGGAGGTGAGTCGATTGTACCGTTCAGTGAGTCCGCTCCTGTAACGGTAACGATACATTAGCTGAAATAAATAAATCTGTAGTCTCTTTTTGGTTATTTGAAACCAGCTGCAGCTGAGCAGGCTTTGCTTTAACCTGGAGATGTCCTCAGAGCGGCCTGTGTGGGGTCACCTCAGTTCAGTAGGTCGTCCATCGCCGAGGATGAGGACAGTTCTGACTGACAAACACACACGTGTTCAGTGCACATGTGCACATGTACAGGTTTCACACCTGCATTTAGTTCCATCAGAACCAGACGGCTAAAGGACGTTAACGACAGCTGAGACCAGAGTCAAACTTTCAGGGCTGGTTGGAGGACATTAGGGTCAAACTCCTTTGTGTGTATTCTTTAGTGTCTCCTTCCCAGAAAACGTTGCTCACACGTAACTAGAAATAGTTTGTACAGAGAAATGAAGGGAGGGACTCAGTAATTTAGTCAAATTTATTATTTTCTCAACTCAAAGGTAAGAGAAGTCTAAATGTTTTCTCAGCTTTAAAGTGGAAAAATAACTAACTGTGTTACTCTTGACCTGAGGAGGTGACATGAACAAACTGTGGGAGTCGTCAGAACAGCAGGTCCTGAAACGCTTTCTGACAGGTGCAATGTTAAAAATAAAAATCTAACATTTAATTTAATCTTTGGTTGATTCAAATAATATTCAATGACTACAAAGTAGTGGAGTTAGGAAACCTGCAGATAAAGAGCACAGAGACATCAGGTTCAGAAGCAAAGGTCAACGTGGACTTATCGTTCGAGCTGATCGGAGTAGAGTTCAGGTCAGAGTCATAAACACTTTATAATCTGCTGTGTGTGCGTGTGTGTGTCTTCATGACAGACTGCCTACCTCATGCTTATCGCCGCCATGTTGGTGGCCCGAACCTACTGTGACGTGTGGATGATCCAGAACGGCACCATGATTGAAAGGTCAGAGGTTACCACTCACTTACGCTCCATGGCTTGAGAACTGTGATAAAATGGCACCTATGGTTTGTTTTTCACTAATAACCCCCACACCTCATAGGCTGTTTGACCCTAACCCTTATTTTGGACATCCGGGCTCCCGTAGCAACTCTTCTTTTATGCTTTTATTGACAGTTTTTTCTTGTTTGGTGATAGCACCGTTTCTTATCAAAAGTTTACAAATGTTGTGGAAAGATGAATTTTTGAGCCTACGACCTACAAAAGAATCATTACAAACATGATGGCAAAATTAAAGAAATTGGCGGTTCTGGTAAGAAAGGAAAAACAAAAATTAAAGTAATATTTTTAATTAGCTCTGTTCTGTTCGAGCACATGCAGTGACTGATTTCAATGACGTACCACAGAGCTGCTCTCCTGGCTTGTTTTTCAGCTTTACAATTAAAAGTTCCACATCATGGGTGTCCAGACCTGGTCCTGGAGGGCCCCTATGCTGCATGTTTTAAATCAGGGGTGTCCAGACCTGGTCCTGGAGGGCCACTTGCCCTCCATGCTTCAGAGGTTTATGTACTCCAACACACTTGATTCAAATCAGTGGCTGTTGCAGAACATGAAGAGGTGACTCAGTCCTTGAATCAGGTGTGTTAGAGCAGGGACACATGCAGGACAGTGGCCCTGGAGGACTTGGACAGACCCACAGGATGTGCTTGTTACACACTGTGGGGGCCCGTCCCTCTGCAGACAGCTCAGCCTCATCACTTCACGTCATCAACAATGAAGGACTCTGTAGTTGTTGCTGTGTGTTTGAGGTCTTTGGTTTTGTTTTATGATTTAAAAAGTTAAAAATATTTAGCAGAAGGAGCTGTTGGAGCCAAGACTCAGTCAGGAGGACACGTCGCATTAGAGTCCCCAATGAGCTCTGAAGCACAGACTGAAGCAGGAACTGAATTAAGACCCAATTTAAACATGAACGAGCGCAGGAGACGCTGGCGTTTTCACCAATGTTGGTTGTGCAAAAGTTACGTTTACACGTAAAGCTGTGCTCATTGGAGCCGCTGTGCCAGGTCACAAGCTGTGATATGTTTTTAATCAATGGCGCATGCACACTTCAGTCCATCACTCCACCTCAGACAAAAACAACTCCTCTTCTACACAGTGACCCACTTGAATATTTTGCACCAAAAACGTTCAAGTTTTCTTGCATTTATTGTTCAATTTCAAAAATACAAACATTCACTATTCAAATCCTTCAGAGACGAGTGACATCACCCATAGTTTACATGAATAAATCTGCTCCAGTAAAACTTTGTACTGTAGTGTGTACTGTCTGTACCCTGTTTTTTGTTAGCTTTTAACATTAGCAGAGCTACAAACTGATCCATTTCTTTACTTTTATATAAAATGTAAAACCTTACAAAGACGTGACACTAATCTCTACCCAAACAGATAAATGGGGTTGTGGGTAAAATCCATGAAACAAGTCCAGCTCTTCTCAGAAGTCTGGTCCCAGGTTCTGTTTTCTGTCACGTCTAGTGAAAGTATTGAGAAAAAATGTTTAATCTGTAGTTTCTGTCTCTTCCTTTTGTTCATCTTTGTTTTTTTTAATTTGCAGTGCAATTATTGGTCGCTCAACAAAAGATTTCAAGATTTTCTTGTTCAGTTTCGTCAAATTCATGCCGCTTGTAAGTATTTACAGTAATGGTTTCTCATCTGTTTAATGTGAATTGTTCAATTAATTCAATAACAGCACACTGCATTATTAAATTGTGTGAAATGGTGCTGGACTGGAGCTGTGGTGGATAAAGAGCTGCTGAAGAAACAACAGTTTGTGAAAACAGGTGACAATCACAATGTTGGGACATTTCTGATGGGATCCCCCAGAGCTCAGTATTGGGACCAAAATGATTTATACTTCATGTTCGTCACTTGCGAAAGAAATCAAATGTATAAAATTTGTTTCGTATGTAGATGACAAATCTGTGCTCAGAGGAGGGATTCAAACTGATTTTGGAGATTATAATAAAATGCATAAATTAGTAAAATCACTGAATGTCAACAAAATAATGATTTTATTTATAAACCGAGTTAAAAATACAGAAGAAAACTAAAGCTGTTCCAGGTGAAGTCATGAGGCAGACTCTTCTCTCCTCCAACCTGTTTGAAACATGGACATCAATATTTTTTCGTTTAAGCCCGTTCCAGTTTGAAGGTGTTGGTGTCCTGGGGCTGGATTTGGTTCTTCAGTGGTCACATCTGGCTCTGAGCTGGACTACACCACCTGCCATGAAGGATTTTCTTATTCTGAATTTTAATAGTTTGATGAGCACACTACAAACATCAAAGCTAAACTAGAGAAAATGCATTTCCTTTAAAAATGCAGTGTGAATGCTTATTGCTGAAAAACTTGCTGAAAAACAGCTGAAATTAGCTATAAAAAAGGTATGCTGAAATGTAGCTGAAATGGAAGAACAAGCCCAAATTAGCAGAAGAAAGCAGAATGCACATAGATTTGTTGAACTCAATTAAAAAATAAGAAATGAGCACAAAAATTAGGAAATTAGCAACAAAAAAAAGGTTCAAATTAGTGTAAAGTAGCTGAAAAGAAGCTGAAAAGTCAGAAAGAAGATTAAACTACCAGAAGGAAGTAGAAAGAGCTGAAATCCTTCCATCCATTATCTTTTACCCGCTTCTTCCTTTCTGGATCGAGGGGGTCACTGGTGCCCATATCCAGCCATCACTGTGCGAGAGGTGGGGGACACCCTGGAATGTGAAGTTCGCAGTAAAAGCTAAAATTAGCATAAAAACAGCTAAATAGTAACTGAAATTGCAGAAAAAGCTGAAAGGTGCATAACAAGCTGAAATGAGCATAGATGTTAATTAGTTTGAAAGTAGCAGAAATTTTCACAAAAAACTTGAATTTATCTGACAACAGCTGAAGTTGCGTAGCTAAAATAAGTTGAAAGGCTAGCTAAAAAGGTGGAACAAGCTTAAATTTGCAGAAAAAGTAAAGAGAGCACGTTTGCCCAATTAGGCTGAAAGAAGTAGAAACAAGCACAAAAAAGTGAAAATTATCTGGAAAAAAAGGGGAGTGGTGGCGCAGAGGTTAGAGAAGGTGGGCCTGTGATCAGAAGATCGCCGGTTCAAGCCCCGGTACCTACAACATCAAAAATGTGGGGTAAGTGGAGCACCCACACCTGCCCCCATCCTCATTCGGCCCACTCTGGGCCCTTGAGCAAGGCCCTTAATCCCCACAATCTGCTCCTCCGGGTGTCCTAGACAGCAGCTCTCTGCTCCACACAGAGGCTGTGGTAGCTCAGTGGTCTGTGGATGCATCATAAAGGACATCCGGCGTAAAAAATAATAAGTGTCAAGTCTTCATGCGGCTTAGTTCGCTGTGGCGACCCCTAACGCAGGGAGCAGCCGAAAGAAGAATAAATAAATAAATACATAAAAAAATCTGATATTAGCAACAACAAAAAACAGCTGAAAATTAGCTAAAAAAAGGCAGAATGAAGCTTAAATTACCAGAAGCAAGTCGAGAGAGCCCATTTTTGCTGAATTAGGCTGAAAACAGTTGAAATGAATGCCAAAAATGTGGAATCATGTCATCTGGACTTCGTTTTTTCCAGATGACATGATTCAACCTTTTTTGTTGTTATATACCTGGATGACTGAGAAAACAAACTTTGTGTTTTTGAAACCATTAGTGAAAAGGCCAGACTTCAGGGGTATCTGAGGCAGGCTTGAAACACAAGAGTCAGGGTGGCTTCTGGGTAATACCAGATGGCTAGGCCTCAGACTGACGAAGCCTCTTGGATGAGGGGCGAAACGTTTCTTTTTTTAACAAAAAAACGAAGTCCAGATGACATGATTCAACCTTTTTTGTTGTTTGTTCAGTTAGGTTGAAAGAAGCAGAGATGAGCATAAAAAAGTGGAATTTATTTGAAAAATGCTGAAATTAGCAAAAAAAAAAAAACAGCTGAAAAGTAGCTAAAGAGGCAAAAAGAAGCTTGTTCAGCGAGTACATTTTTGCTGAATTAAGCTGAAAAATGTTGAAATGAGTGCAACGTACAGAAGAAAATGGGTCACTAATGGAGTGAATGCGTCATAAACATTTACACGATCACAGAATTGATGTGTTTCAAACCAGAAGTACAGGAAGTTCAAATGTGCGTGACTGTTTTTGTTTCAGATTGCGTTGGTGAACAACTTTCTAAAGTTGGGTCTAAATGAGTTAAAGCTGAGGTTTCGTGAGCGACTCACAAAGAAGCTGTACGACCAGTACCTGCAGTAAGTCCACCTGAGGGATTTGAGCACTTTAACACGTAACATGTTCCGTCTCCTAAAGACCTACCGCCAGTTTATTTGACTGGTCATAAAAAGCTGCTGCTGATTAGTTGCAGTTTGCGAGAACCAGCCTCCACATTAATGGGGTTCAAGATGTTCAGTAAGGAAAGCCATATATTTATACATAAAGTATAGTAAAATGAATTTAAGTTGTGAAAACATGACCAGAATGATGATATGTCCATTAAATGTGGTCCAGTAATTGTTCACACTTGTCTTAAAGCCCCTGTAGTTCTACTTGTGTTGCCACCTGTTCACATTTGTACTGAATCTGCTGCAGACCATCTTGTATCTTAAGAAAGGACCTGTTGTGTGTTTGTGATGACTGAGTCTCGACTCTGTCTCTTCAGAGGCTTCACTTATTACAAAATGGGAAACCTGGACAACCGGATAGCTAACGCAGACCAGCTGCTGACCCAGGATGTGGAGAAGTTCTGCAACAGTGTGGTGGATCTTTACTCCAACCTCAGCAAGGTAGCACCGCACCTTCACTGTGTCAAGAAGTGACTGCAGTGCCACCTGAGCAGCATCATGCCAGGCAGATGTAACCACAGGCTCACTGGAAGAGCCACTACCAGAGCTTTGGTTATTAAAAACAACCTGTACCTTGAAGCATGCCGTCTGCTGCCTGCCACTCCAGATTTTAGGCTAACACAATAAAATGGGTCGTTCAAATCTTTTAACCCGTGCTTTTAAAACTTTTTTGCTAACAGACAGAAATAAACCCAGACATGCACACACAGATCGTTGTTCCATATCGGTATTGTTGTTGTTTTCCTTCAGCAGCAGGCAATAATAAAATAATAAACAGCTTTTGGAGATGGAAGACGACTCTGTAGTCAGATGTCCATCGCTGACGGTTCTGTACATGCACATAATGTGAGTTCAGTTTTGATTAGTCGGGACTGAAAGACTTCTATCCACTTCAGTTTCTACTGCTCCACTTCACAACAGACGTCCTCTCAGCACTGATCTCAATCATTCATGTAAAGTATAACATTCAATTCAGTTCAGTGTGTTTCTATAGCACCAAGTCAGCAGAAGTCATCTCAGTGCACTGAACAGAAACATTCATATATCTATAAAAACAAGTTACATTTATTATTATTTTATTAACCTTTATTTAACCAGACAAATCCCATTGAGATCACAGATCTCTTGCAAGGGAGGTCTGGACCTGAAGGCAGACCAACATATATGTTTTTGGTCTGTGGGAGGAAACTGGAGTACCTGGAGAAAACCCACGCATGCACGGAGAGAACATGCAAACTCCACCCAGAAAGACCCCAGGTCCAGCTGGACATGGAACCCAGGACCTTCTTGCTGTGATGCAACCGAGCTAACCACTGAGCCATCGTGCTGCCAGTAACATTAATAACATTATTTATCTGAGGAGCTTTGAGTTTAACTCCATCACAGAACTCTCATCTTGAACAAGCATGAAGGCGACAGTGGAAAGAAAAACTCCCTCATGAGCAAGAAACCTTTAGCAGAACCAGGATCAGGACAAGAGGCCATCTGCTTCGACCGACTGGGTTTGAGAAGAACAGATACACAATGGCAGGTCAAGAATCACATGTTAAGATAGAAATAGTATCAAATGAAAACTATTTAATTTTAACAAATTATTTAAGGAAATTATGTCAATTTGTCCTCCAGTAGTCTAAGCCTATAGCAGCATAACAACCCTAACTATAGGATTTATCAAAAAGGAAAGTCTTAAAACTGGACAATGTGTCAGCCTCATGGACAGAAACTGGAAGTTGGTTCCACAAGAGAGGAGCCTGAGAACTGAAAGATCTTCATCCCATTCTGCTTTTAGAAACTCTAGGAACCACGAGTAAACCTGCAGTCTGAAAGCAAAGTGCTCTGTTAGGAAAATATGGAACAATAAGATCTTTAATCTAACATGGAGCTAGGTTGTTGAGAGCTTTGTAGGTTAGAAGTAAGATTTTGAATTCTGGATTTGACAGGGAGCCAATGGAGAGAAGCTAAAACTGGAGAGATATGATCTCTCCCAGTAACTCCAGTTAAGACTCTGGCAGCAGCATTTTGGATCAACTGAAGACGTTTTAAAAATGGCATCTAGAGAACGTTTCCTAACTAAAGAAGCTGCAGAATGTGTTGAATCTATATTTCCTGAGCAGTTCACAGGAGACAGACGACTCGCACATAATGTCTTTTACAAGGTTTGACCAAAACGGCTGAACTCCATCATTTCTCATGAAAACATGATCCAAGTCTAAAACTGAAAGGCGGCGGGTGATATGCATTTCTTCCAGGTTAGGTTCTTTTTGATTGTCTCTGATTGAGTCCTGAATACATTCTTGTTGTGTTTGCAGCCTCTGTTAGACATTGGTCTCTACATCTTCAAGCTGACGAGCGCCATCGGTGCTCAGGTAAGTGCTTCATTTTTTAATGGTCTCTAAAATCAGTGGAAGCTGCTGGAGAAGGTTTCTTTAAACCTCAACAAGGTGTTTAAACTTTAGTTGTATTCCACACTGATGCACTGAAAACCCATTAAAGTGTAGGAGTCAACATCCCTTCATCAGGGCTGATCCAGATCTAACTTTAATCATTTATAAATTAGGTGATGTTCAACCTTTAAAAGAGCATCGGATGTGAACGTTTCAGAAACTTTGAGAGTAAGTCCAGCTGGACAGAGCAGATCCTGAGACTCGGGGGTTCAAGACACTCAGCCGGCAGAATACTTGATTTTTTTAATGTTTTTATTTGGATATTTGTTTACATGTATCCTCTGTGATTAAAAAAAACAACACTAAATTCACTTTATTTACCTCCAAAAGTCTGCAGCAATCATGTTTTGTTGCCAACAATTAGCGTGGTTTGTTTACGTTCGGACAGTGAAGAGTTCACTTCAGACGGTCTCGTGTGAGTCTGTGAAATAATCCCTGGATGTAAACGGAGTCAGAGGAGAAGCGTGGAGTCAGAGACCACAGGTCCAAACAGAGAAGTTGAACTTCTTCTGTCTCCTGAAATTAAACGGTGACTAACAGCTGTGAGGACGAGAGTCGTTCTGGGAGGAAACTGAGCGATGGAGCAAAGGAAAGGTGGGACCAGATGGAAATGAGCTGAGATGTTCTGAACTCTGATGGGAGAGCTTCTGTAGCTGATGGACGGATTTATTAACAACAGAGACGAGGAGTGTTTTCTGTTTTCTAACCAAATTTTTACAATAATCCTGATGAGTTTAAATTGTTAAACCCCTCATTATTTAATGATGTAGTCATACTGTTGGCAGCATAAAGAATTTAATCAAAACCATCACACAGATGTAGAGACGCAGAGTGAGCTGGAAGGATTGAACACAGACATGGACCTTGTACCTGAAAACATTTAACCTAGCTGGTGATGAGTTGTTAACTATCAGCTGGATTAACTCTGCTAATACCTGCAGTTCAGGCCTGGAATGATAATCCCAGCGGCTGACAGGTGGTCAGTTTTCTTCAATCTGTAAACCCTGACAGGTTCATGGGAGTTTGCACATCCAGTCTACATGTGTTTTGTGGACTAAGAAAAGGCAGGTGCATTGTGGGAGGTGCTCCTTGAGTATGGGGTTGGGGGTCCGTTGCTACTGTCCATTCAGTCCCTATACGAGCACTGTGAGAGCCAAAACATCTGGAAAGAGCCTCAAAATTCTACACACAATACCCCACTATGAGTATGTGAAAACATTTTTCTTTTAGATTTTGCAAATTTATTAAAAATAGAAAAGTAAGAAATGACATTTATGTAAGTATTCACAGCCATGAAGCTCTGAATTGAGCTCAGATGCTGTTTCCACTGACCATCCTTGAGGTGTTTCTACAACTGAAATGGAGTCCACCTGTGGTAAATTCAGTTGATTGGACTTGATTTGGAAAGGAGCACACCTGTCTATAGAAGGTCCCACAGTGGACAGTGCATGTCAGAGCACAAACACCAAGCATGAAGTCAAAGGTCTGTAGACCTCTGAGACAGGATTGTGTTGAGGGACAAATCTGGGGAAGGATACAGAAACATTCTGCTGCTTTGAAGGTCCCAGTGAGCACAGTGACCTCCATCATTTATAAATGGAAGAAGGTTGGAACCACCAGGACTCTTCCTAGAGCTGTTTGCCCATAAAGGCCTTAGTGAGGGAGGTGACCAAGAACCTGATGGTCACTCTGTCAGAACTCCAGCGTTCCTCTGTGGAGAGAGGAGAACCTTCCAGAAGGACACCCATCCCTGCAACAATCCACCAATCAAGCCTGTATAGTAGAGTGGTCAGATGAAAGCCACTCCTTAATAAAAGGAACATGGCAGCTCGTCTGGAGTTTGACAAAAGGACCTGAAGGACTCTCGGACCAAGAGAAACTAAATTATCTGGTCTGATGAGACAAAGATTGAACTCTTTGGTGTTTGGCCAGACGTCATGTTTGGAGGAAACCAGGCACCGCTCATCACCAGTCCAACATCATCCCTACAGTGAAGCACGGTGGTGGAAGCATCATGCTATGAAGATGTTTTTCAGCAGCAGGAACTGACAGACTAGTCGGGATAGAGGGAAAGATGAACACAGAGATGTACAGAGACATCCTGGATGAAAACCTGCTCCAGAGTGCTCCTGACCTCAGACTGAGGCGACGGTTCATTTTTCATCAGGACAATGACCCAAAGCACACGGCCAAGATCTGAGGGGAGTGGCTTCAGGACCACTCTGTGAAGGTCCTGGAGGGGCCAGGCCAGAGTCCAGGCTTGAATCTGATGCATCTTCTGGAGATGACCCAGAAAGGAAAAAGTGGGTAAAGATGATGGATGGATGAATGTGCACAGTTGTCCCCCATCCAACTTGGTGGAGCTTGAGAAGTACTGCACAGAAGAATGAGAAAAACAAAAAACGTAACACGTGGTTTGAAGTCTTAGCAGAGCTGCTACAATCTCCGCTCCCTGTCCAGAGTGGTGGAGCTGTGTGGGGTGGGGCACTCTGTTCTGTTGACAGGGAGGGGCACCCTCCTTGAATAATGATAGGGGAAATACTGCTTTAAAACGAGCCAAACCTGTAAACTACAAGAATCAACACACTACAGACTCATTTCAAGCAAAACCAGTCCAACTTCAAACTGGACAAATGTGAAGGAGCTGTCAGTAACGCAGCGCAACATCACAGCTTGTCACACGTATTCGTGTGGACGTGTTCACAGAAGGACTGTTGTAGGGATGTTGAATTTTTACCTAAATAAATATTTAAGTACTTTTTCTGGGTCTTCAGTTTTTTGCTGGACAAAACGGTTTTCTCCCATTTTTCATTAATTCTCATTTCTGCAGTGAAGAACAGTGAAGAACTTCTGTTCTAGTTTTGTGGACCCTTCCTACGTTCAGGGGGTTCCCTGTAAAATGTCTTCATTGTGTCATCGTCCCCTCTCTTAACTAGGGTCCAGCTATCATGATGTCATACCTGCTGATCTCAGGACTGTTCCTGACCAGACTGAGGAGACCCATAGGCAAGATGACTGTGTCTGAGCAGCGCTTCGAGGGAGAGTACCGTTACGTCAACTCTCGTCTCATCACCAACAGGTAAGCCCAGCAGCAGCTCTTCAGCTCGTGAAAGAAGCTGCTTACTACAGATGCACTGCACAGCTACACATCTGACAACAGGGGTGCACTTTTTATCTCTGCTCTACAAACAGAACTTTTGTCAGCATGTATTCCTGCAGGGTTCAGGTCTGTGAGCCGATAGTTTCAGATTCAAACCTCTGCTGTAAAGAACATCAGCTGTGGAGGAGGACAACACTGTTAACTTTAGTTTGTGTCTCCATAAACATGCAGGCTGCCTTCAGGCCCAGAACAAGAGATCTGTGGTCTTCATGGGATTGTCCTGATTAGATAAAGATTCATACAAACTAGAGAAATTGCATTTCCAGAGAAAATGCAGTGTGAATGCATATTGCAGAAGAACCTGCTGAAAAACGGCTGAAATTAACTAAAAACATTCTGAAATGGCAGAACAAGCCTAAATTAACAGAAGAAAGCAGAAAGAACACATCTTTGCTGAATTATGTTTAAATAAGCAGAAATGAGCACAAGAATTAGAAAATTAGCTTAAAAAACCCTGAATTGAGCAAAAAATAGCTGAAAAGGCATAAAGATGTGTAACTACCAGAAGGAAGTGGAGAGAACTAAAATCAACGAAAAAAATGTGTAATTAGCTGAAAAAGCTGCACCAAAAGAGCTAAATAGTAGCTGAAAGAGCAGAAAAAGCTGAAACTAGCAGGAAAAGCTGAAAGGAGCATTCAAGCTGAAATTAGCATAAAGAAGATAATTAGGCGTAAAGTAGCCGAAATTACCACAAAAAAAGTGGAATTTATCAGAAAACTGCTGAAATTAGTTAAAAAGGTAGATGAAAAGGTAGAACAAGCTTAAATTACAGGTAGCAGAAGAAAGCAGAAAGAACACATCTTTGCCCACTTAGGCAGAAAGAAGCAAAAATTAGCACAAAAAAGTGGAAATTATCTGATAAAAGCTGAAATTAGCAACAAACAGTAGCTAAAAAGGCAGAAAGAAGCTGAAATTACCAGAAAGAAGTGGAGAGAGCACATTTTTGATGAATTAGGCTGAAAAAAGTTTAATTGTGTGCAAAAAATGTGGAATTAGCTGAAAAAGCTTAAATTAGCATAAAACTGCAAAAAAGTTGCTGAAAAGCAGAAGAAGCTGAAACTTACATACATATGCTAAGATTAGCAGAAGGAAGTTAGAAGAAGCACAGAGATGTTGTAGTTGGCAGAAAGAATGTAAAAGGATCACAAAACAGCTTAAAACAGCTGAAATTAGCTGAATGTAGCTGAAAAAAAGATTAAATTTGCACAAGCGAGCTGAAAGAAGCTGAAGCAGAACAAAATGTGAAAGGAGCAGTAAAAGGTTGTAAACAGAGCTAAAGATCTGAAGGATGTAAAATGAGCTCATTTTCTATGAGAACAAAATGGCAGAAAGGGCTAAATATTTCAAAAAGCTAAAGTTGCACCAATACCAGAAGTCATAGCAGGATTGTCCTGAAAGAGCCGAACGTTTTGATTCATGATTTGTTGAAATAGAACAAAAACTGTGGAACAAGAAAGATGCTGAGAAACGCACAGAAGAAACATGCTTCATAAACAATAACACGTTTAATATTTTTCCTTCAGTGAGGAGATAGCCTTCTACAACGGGAACCTGAGAGAGAAGCAGACCATTCACGCCACATTTAAGAAGCTGGTACGTACAGTTGAGTCAAGTTTCCCACGCAGCCTGGGTTTGTTCATGTCTTACAGGGTTCCCAGATCCTGGAAATCCAGATCCAGGTCCTGGACGACCTTTCTGAGATTGTAATGTGGCGTGCATTAATGCTGGTGTTCTAGTATCACTGAGTCCATGTTCTGCTTCTGCAGTCGACATGTCCTACATATTCTTACTGACTGGCTGCGGTGGCTGCTGTATAAAAACACCAACCTGTAACCCCTTTCACAACTCCAAACGTTTCAGCGTTAAATCACTCACTGCTACAGTAAATCCGCCTAAAGCACTAAGTTCTGAGTGATTATTGTGACTGAAATATCTCCTGGAGTTTCAGGATTTACTCCTGGAAAACTCAGGGAAACCTGGGAATGCAGTTTTCAAGACGTGCTGGGAACCCCGTTTTATGATGAACCCTGTTAGTTTGAGTCCAGAGTGTCTGAATGATGAAAACTGCTTCAACTCTGGCTGTTCCGTGTGATCTCATCTGTCTTTGCCGTTTGTGCCGAGCGGTTTGTTGGACCTCTAACCTTTGGAAGTCGTTAAAATATTCAGAAACACCTGGGACCGTTGATCATTACCGTCTGTGTGAACACGTCGCTCTGTGTGTAGCCCAGAGTTATGAGAACAACAAGGATTGGTTTGTTTGTCAGATGGTCTGCTGAAGGATTAGTATCATTTCATAACATCTGAAGGCTTTTTATTCACATTTCCATCAAGTTTGTACAAAGACTCCGCATGCGTTTATAATTCAACCTCTGGGTCAAATCCTGACAATTAACGGCTCATAGATGATCAATAATCAACGCTTAGAGTTTGTCAGGGTTGGAGGGTCTTCTTTGTCCCCCTGTGGACTCACCACAGCTTCTCAGTGGGATTAAGGTATGTGGAGTCTCTTGACCATGGACCCTGAACTTTGTTTTCCTCTCTGAGTCACTTGTTTCTCACTTCAGAGCGACAGCTGAGGGTGACCTGACGGGGCTGCACACGTGAACCAAACACCAACAAACACAAACAGCATGTATTTTAGACGGGCCACAGCTGTGCTGACAGGTTCACTGTGTTCTGCTGTGCATCAAAGACCTTATATTCAAATTAAACCTCTATAAAGTGAAGACATATTTCACATTTAGAACATGGTATATTTTAGTAATTATGGTCTAAATTGTACTAAAGTCTTGTTTGTGCTCCCAGGTGGACCACCTGCATAACTTCATCTTCTTCCGTTTCTCCATGGGCTTTGTGGACAGCATTATAGCAAAGTGTAAGATCAGAAAACACTCCAATGTTGTAGCAGAAGTTTAAAAACATGTCCATAAAATGTGTTTCTCCTTCATTTAAAGAAAACGTCCTTTCTTCCCCTAATTTTCTAAAGCACTGTTCCTTTGCAGATGTGGCAACAGTCGTGGGGTACCTGGTGGTCAGTCGGCCGTTTCTCAGCCTGTCGGACCCTCGGCACCTTCACAGCAGCCACTCTGAGCTGCTGGAGGTGAGGCCAGAGCACCAACAATTACAATCATAACTAGAGACAGTTCCTGTTAAAGTACAGTGTGAATGCCTGTTGGGGAAGGACTTGCTGCAGCTGAAATTAGCTAAAACATGCTGAAATGTGGCTGAAATGGAAGTACAAGCCTAAGTTGGGAGAAGAAAGCAGAAATAACATATTTGCTGAATTAGGTTTAAATAAGCAGAAATTACCACAAGAAATAGCTGAGAAATTGCTGAAAAGTCAGAAAGTAGCTTGAGCTACCAGAAGGAAGTGAAAGGAGCTGAAATGAGCTAAAAAAAAATGTGGAATTTGCTGAAAAGGCTAAATTTAGTACAAAACAGCTAAAAAAAATAGCTGAAAAAGCTGGAACTAGCAGGAAAAAAACTTAAATGAGCATAACAAGCTGAAATTGGCAGAAAGAAATTAATTAGGCTGAAAGAAGTTGAAATTCCCACCAAAAACAAATGTATCTAAAAACAGCTAAAATTAGCTAAAAACAATGCTTAAAAAGCAGCTGAAAAGGTAGAACTTGACATTAGCAGACGAAATCAGAAAGAACACAAATTTGCCAGAAGCAGAAATTGGCACAATTGTCTGAGAAAAGCTGAAATTAACAAAAAGCAGCTGAAAAGTAGCTAAAACAGCAGAAAGAAGCTTAAATTACCAGAAGAAAGTAGAGGGAGCACATATTTGCTGAAACAGGCTGAAAAAAGTTGAAATGAGTACAAAAATGTGGAATTAGCCAAAAAAAGCTAAAATTAACATAAAAGCAGCTGTATAGTAGCTGAAATAGCAGATAAAGCTGAAATGAGATGAAAGGAGCATAACAAAAATTAGCCGAACGAAGTTAGAAAAAGCACAAAAATGTTTTAGTTGGCAGAAAGAATCTGAAAGGAGCATAAAACAGCTGGAAAAACAGCTGGAATTAGATTGGAAACAAGTTTAAATTTGCACAAGGAAGCTGAAGCAGAACAAAATGTGAAAGGAGCAGTAAAAGGTTGTGAACAGATCTAAAGATTGGAAGGATGAAAAATGAGCTCAATTTATTTTCTATGAGAACAAAATGGCAGAAAGGGCTAAATATTTCTAAAAGCTATAAAGTCTCACCAATACCAAAAGTCATAGCGTCCTTCTCCTGAAAGAGCTGAACGTTTTGATCTATGATTTGTTGAAATGGAACAAAAACTGTACTGCTAAACTTTATATGGTGACTCACCAGCCTTGGTCCGGTTCTGATCGGCTCTCTGCAGCTGTTGAGCACCAGATGCTTTTAGAGAGAGCTGGACTTTAGGGGAGCCAGCACAAAACCACACAATGGTCCCAATCGAGTCCAAATAATCGAGAGAAATATGGATTAAAAAAAGTTCCAGTGAATATTGATGTCACTGAGAACATCAACATTGCACCAAGCAATGCCTCCCTGCTCGAGGGGCCTCATGGGCCAGCAAGCAGCGCTCAGATTGATCAATGAGGCTGGAAGTAGTTCTGGTCCAATTCCCGTTCAGTTCCGTACGGCTCTCTGCATCCACTGAGCTCCGAAGTCACTATGAATAAGGACCGAACTTTTTCAGATCGGATCAAAACTTTCCCTCCATTTCAGCAGAAAACAACGGCTGGAAGGCTTCTGGGTAATGTAGTCCTTTTGACTGGCCATACAGTGTAGGCTTATTGAGAGAAAACTACAAAATGGCGGCACCTGTCCAAAGTTTTTTTTTTTTTTTTACTTTTTACTGTATCCCGAACTGCTCCAATCACGTGAGTAGTTTTAACGTTGATAATCATGTGTCATGTACAGTATAATATTTTTGTTGTTGTTGTTGTTGTTGTTGTTGTTGTTGTTGTTGTTGTTGTTGTGTACAATCTTACTTTGAAAAACCACAAAAGTGCAAATCCGCAAAAGTCGAACTGCAAAGTAGCGAGGGACTCCTGTATATTAATGACTGGCAGCTTGGTGGTCAGTGTTGCAGTTTGTTTCAGGAAGGAAAGCCAGCGTGTGATATAATGTGATATTACTTAAAGTGACACCCCCGTTATATAAAAAACTAACGTCTCATCTGAAGCACAAACAGATATCGAGTTAATATTTGACGAGTGACTCGTGTGTGTGGTTGTTTGGCTGCTAGGACTACTACCAGAGTGGCCGGATGCTCCTGAGGATGTCCCAGGCCCTGGGCAGGATCGTTCTGGCTGGGAGAGAGATGACCCGTCTGTCTGGGTGAGTGGGTCAGAACAATGTGGAAACTATGGTCTGATACCTCAGCTGTGAGGAACTCTCCTGTCTCTGAGTCCATTTAGACAAAAGCTAAAGTTTAGATGGTGAATGAACACACTGCTGGACTCCACATGGAGAGTCAGCTTCATCCTAAGGTTTCAGCTCCTGTAGCCTGTAAGCAGGTCTTACCTCTGCTTTTCAGAGAGATCAGGTGGCTGGTACCACACTTACAAAAATGATAAATGTGACCACTATTCTCTTTATTGTGAGATATTTTTGTGGGAGCAAGGAAACAGGCCAGTAGGACAAAAGGTGTGGACTCCCACCTCCAGAGGCAACTTATCTAAAAATGTTTTTGGTTCTTAAATTTTAAGGCCCAACCGATATGGAAATTTTGGCTATCGCCGATACCAATATTGGGAAGGGAAGGCTAATGCTGATAAATTATATAATGTCTGAATTTTTTTAGCTTTGTCCACCCCCAATAATCTAAGTAAACAGCAGGTGGACCTGGGCTTGTTTATTTAGCACAGCTGTTAGCAAACATGAAGCTAATCAGATCCACCTGTGCGTAGACCCACAGCAGGTTTACCAGTGGTGCACGGGTCATAAACACAGTCTTCCTAACGTGAGTTCACATTTTCTGTCCATTGTTCACCATAAAGTTATCAGGTGTGCTACAAAATATAAATTAAACAAAGAAACACTTCCCTGTTCGTTGTTCAGTCAGTCATTATAATGAAGGTCGACAAAGATAACGTTACTAACACTGATATATTTTACCTCTACGTTAGATTTATTGTTCTGGATGAAGTTTTACAAGACTATGCTAAATGGTAGCTTACTAACTTGAGAGGCACGTAGCTAATGACAAGCAGGTTGGAGGACTGAAGAGAATTTATTATTGCTGATTATTTATTTTTTTATTTTACAGATCAGCTACAATAAACTTACATGTTTTGTTCAGCAAAATACTCTACACAGTATTTACATGTGCAGCATGGTCATGAATTGAAAGTACTGTAGTCTTCATGCGCCCTCTGCTGGATACATTGTACATTACACCATTTGCAAGTAAGGACATGGCTGGTTCCAGCATTTTAGAGGTGAAAATTAGAAGTGCTTATATCGGCGCGTAATTGGACAATTATCATGGATACCGATGCGTCACCAAACGCCTGTATCGGCTCTATCGTTGCATCAGTCAGACTCTATTAAACTTGACTTTTTTAGGCCACGCTGGGACAGTGAGTTAGTGTGATGGTATTTTTGCATTGTAAGGCCCGACCAGGGTTCAGGGGGGTGTCGCATCACAGATGAGTCATCCTCCAGCGACTGCTCATTTGATGTTTGTTTGTGTTTGTCTGTTTTGTTTGTTTGTTGTTGTTTTTTTTACTTCAAGTATGGATTCTTTCGACGCTCCATCTTCTCTCGCTCGGTTTTTGCTGTTCTCTTTAAGAGAACAAAGAGAAGTAGCACGAGCTCAGTGTCGTCCGTTGTTTTGTTGCAAATAATACGACATCATGTGTTTTTGAAATGATGATCCCCGCCCACATCAACTCGATCAAAGCAAACATGACCCGGGCCGGGGTAGAATAAGGGCGGGCCGACTGTGGCCAGGCCGGGCCGGGCCTTACAGTGCAAAAATACCTTAAGATGTACGGTTTTGAAAACTTTGCATCTTTGTATAACAAAGACGGGTCTTTAAAGGTTTTCATTGATTGAGAAATATTAGAAGATGAAGTGCTCTTTTTCTCTAAAATCATCATCTTGCAGTTCACCTTTTGTTTTTTAAAGGATTAACAATAAACGCACAGTCCTCCTGAATTTAACTGTCAAACACTCCAGTTATCTTATTGCATTTTATAAAATAAAACAAAAATAGAATAAAATATCTAATCTTTGAATCTATAGAAGTGTTAAATAAAATCTGGATTTTGTTGACTGTTTGTTTTGGGCTCATCTAAAATCACTCACCAAAATAAAGTGACATTTTTAAACATTGTTCATTGGACGACTGTTGAGACACCATCATCAAACTGCTGCAGCTGACGGATGGATGTTCTTCCCGTTTGTCTACAAAAGTTGGGCACAACATTTTTTTTTATGGGGCTGGTTTAACACCTGACACTGTCAGGACAATTAGCATCTTTGAAGAGTAAGAACATCGTTAATCTGGCTACAGACTTAAACAAAACTCAGAACATCATATTCCATATTATTGTATCCAATGACTAAATGAGCTGAAATCCTGTAACTATAAACCCTTTGAATGAAATAATCGTTTTAGTAGAAAAATCTGTCAGTGTGGCAGATTAAAAAGAACTTAATTTTAATTTCACGCTCAATAATCCAGATAGAAATCCAACTATGTTCAGTCAGTTACTGAATTTACAAGTTACTCTCAATTAACTTGCTGTTAATTTTATGGTAAGTTAATTTATACTCTGCTAAGGACTTTCTGTGCTATAATTTTTGAATCCATCGAACAACCCCTCCAAAAGTAAACTACAGAAAAGTTGTTCAAATTTCTAGGTGTAAAAAAAAATTCAGTGAAAAGATTATTTTTTCTGCTTTAATCCATGCAGATGTGACAAACGACGCCACAGGTGGCCTGATGTAGATCTCACACGCATCACAAGTTTCCTTTTATCAAGTTGCTTTAGTGTACTTTAGCTGTGATTGGGTGGTAGGTTTGTATGTATTCAGATATACATCTGTAATGGGCAAACTGCAACACAAACCTTTTTCAGCACAACACCATTATTATTTTCTTGTTAATACACACAGTTTAACGCTGCCCATTTTCCAATAAACTGACAGTAAATATGTATATTGGGTAATGGTTCCTATTTCTGTCAGTAAAATAGAGGTGAGGTATGAGTAACTCCTGTAGCATCTCAGAGGATGAATTCAGATTTGTTTGTGTTGTTTCAGATTCACAGCCCGGATTACTGAACTGATGCTGGTTCTGAAGGAGCTGAATGCTGGCAGATATGAGAGAACCATGGTTTCGCAACAGGAGAAGGGTACGCAAAAAAAACCACAACAAAAAACAACTTCAGAAAGGATGAAGCTGTGAAGCGTATGTTGGTCCATCTCACCCATGTTGGTCCATGCCATCCATCCTGGTATATCTCACCCATGTTTGTACATCCCACTCATCTTGGTACATTCCACTCATCTTGGTCCATTTCACCCATGCTAGTATATCCCACCCATGTTTGTACATATCCCACTCATCTTGGTACATTCCACTTATGTTGGTATAACACACTCATGTTGCTTCATTACACTCATGTTGGTACATTCCATTTCCACTCACATTGGTATATCACATTCATGTTTGTGTATTCCAGTCATATTGGTTCATCCCACTCATGTTGGTGTATTACACTAATGTTGGTATATTCCATTCATGTTGGTACGTCCCACTCATGTTGGTGTATTCCACTCATGTTGGTATATCACACTCATGTTGTTACATTACACTCATGTTGGTACATTCCACTCACGTTGATATATCACACATGTTGGTATAGCACACTCATATTGGTATATTCACTCATGTTGGTGTATTCCACTAATAATGGTTCATCCCACTCATGTTGGTGTATTCCACTAATAATGGTTCATCCCACTCATGTTGATATATCACACATGTTGGTATAGCACACTCATGTTGGTATATTCACTCATGTTGGTGTATTCCACTAATGTTGGTGTATTACACTAATATTGGTTCATCCTACTCATGTTGGTATCAAGTCAAGTCAAGTCATCTTTATTTGTAGAGCACAATTTAAAACAGATAAACTGTTATCAAAGTGCTTAACAGAAATGTAGCAAAACATAGGCAGCAAAACAAAAACATCATACAGAATTAAAATTACTGGAGCAATAACACACACTAATGATCACACTAAGGAAAAACAAGCAGTAAAAATAAACGTCAATCATAAAACAACAGAATTTAAAATGAGGTACACAGAACAAAATAAACTAACTCACACAGTATTAAACGCCAGAGCAAACAGGTGCGTTTTAAGGAGGGATTTGAACATCAGGAGGGAGGAGGCCTGCCTGATGTTGAGGGGCAGGTTGTTCCACAGGTTGGGACCTCTGACTGAAAAAGCTCGATCCCCTCGGAGCTTCAGGCGTGATTTTGGAACGACCAAAAGAAGCTGGTCCGATGATCTCAGGGCCCGAGACGGAACATATGGTTCCAGGAGCTCGGAGAGGTAGAGGGGTGCGAGGCCATTTAGGCACTTATAGGTCAGGAGGAGAATCTTGAAGTCGATTCTGGATCGCACAGGAAGCCAGTGAAGGGAGGACAGAACAGGTGTGATGTGCTCAGACCTACGTGTACCAGTTAAAAGCCGAGCAGCTGCATTTTGGACGAGCTGGAGACGTGAAATGGACGCCTGACTGACCCCAGCATAAAGTGAGTTACAATAGTCCAGGCGGGTTGTGATGAAGGCATGGACTAATGTTTCAAGGTTGGGTCTGGATAACACTGGCTTGAGCTTAGCTACCTGCCGCAGTTGGAAAAAACTTTTCTGCAGAACTGAACTGATCTGTTTGTCAAACTTGAAATCCGAGTCAAAGACCACCCCGAGATTTCTAACATTGTGCTTGAGATAGGGCTGAAGTGAGTCCAGGTTTGCAGGATCTGAGGAGGCAGCTGAGCTAGGACTAAAGACGATGACTTCAGTTTTCTGGTTGTTAAAACTGAGAAAATTTGAAGTCATCCATGCCTTAATGTCATCTAGACATTTGAGGAGAGGGTGGATGGAACGAGCACTGGCTGGTTTCAGTGGCAGGTAGATCTGGCAGTCATCGGCATAACAATGGAATGAGATGGCATGTTTTCTTAAGATGGATCCCAGTGGGAGCAGATAGAGCGAGAAGAGAAGGGGTCCAAGGATCGAGCCCTGTGGGACCCCGCAGGAAAGAGGGACCGAAGTGGACAGACTTTCACCAACCTTGACACAAAAAGTCCTGTCAGAGAGGTAAGAACGGAACCAGTCTAAAGCAGCTCCTGTAATCCCAACCCAGTGTTCGAGCCGTGAGATGAGGATACTGTGGTCGACGGTGTCAAAAGCAGCAGTAAGATCAAGGAGTACAAGTACCACATAGTGACCAGAATCATTTGAAGTTAAAATGTCATTGCAAACCCTAACCAAAGCTGTTTCTGTGCTGTGGAGTTGCTTAAAACCAGACTGAAAGACCTCAAAGATTTTGTTCTCAGTTAAAAATTGATTCAACTGAGTAAAGACTATTTTTTCTAGGATTTTGGACAGGAAGGGAAGCTTTGAGATTGGTCTGTAATTTGAGTGCACTGAGGGGTCAAGTCCAGGTTTCTTGATTAAAGGAGTGACTACTGCATTTTTAAAGGCCTGTGGAACCACGCTTGTAGCAAAGCTACTGTTAAGAATATTAAGAACAGCGGGCCCAATCGCTGGTAGAACCTGTTTGAACAGTGAGGGAGAGATTGGATCAGCAGGGGAGCCTGAGGGTTTCATGTGACCAACAACTTTGTTTAACAATGGGAGTGTGATTGGATTGAAATTCCTGAAAGTGGCTGAACATGGGACAAAAACCGATGGGTCGACTGAGGAGCGGGGGATGGAAGATCTGATCAGCTCTACCTTACCAACAAAGAATCTTGTGAAGTCGTTACAGACGTCCACAGAGGCGTCCATGCATTCAGACAAAGGGCCATTAAGAATGGAATTTACTGCTGTGAAAAGGGTATATCACATTCATGTTTGTGCATTCCACTCATATTGGTTCATCCCACTCATGTTGGTGTATTACACTAATGTTGGTATATTCCATTCATGTTGGTACGTCCCACTCATGTTGGTGTATTCCACTCATGTTGGTATATCACACTCATGTTGTTACATTACACTCATGTTGGTACATTCCACTCACGTTGATATATCACACATGTTTGTATAGCACACTCATATTGGTATATTCACTCATGTTGGTGTATTCCA